TTCATACATATTAGTTTTCCAAGTAAATAAGTAAAACGACTTGTTAAACTTCCTTTCTGCCAAAAATGTACTGCCATCTGTGTTCTACATGGCAGCATTTTCTTATTTAATACATATGCTCACCCCTCCCCCCCCCCGCCCCGCTTTTTGGAAGCATGTTAAGAACTTTAATATGACATAAAACAGAAATAAAATAGTGAAAACACATTGTGTTTCAAGCATGAATGCATAATTCAGATTCGTGACATTCAAAGAATTTGGGATTTCATGTGCCACCCATTAATTTTGTGGCAATTCTGAGTCCTTAATGTTAGAAAAAAAATTTAATTGCGATGTGTATACAGTTTGGGGTTTGAGAGTTATTTTACTGTCTAAAAGTGAGTTAAAGACCTAGTGTTTAAGATAGGTTGAATTTCATCAAAAAGTCTGAAAACCTCGTTAGAAAAGGTAATGTGAAAAGTAATGCAACAGAGGGCAAAAAGGTTTGGCCTCAATGCTAGGAGGTCCAAATTCTGGCCTCAGCACTTCACTAACTGTGCAGTGTTGGGCAAATCACTTAACCTTTCAGTGTCTCTGTTTTCTTACCTGTAAAATGAAAGGTTTGTGTTAGACCAATAACGATCACCTTTTAAATTCATTCCCCAGATACAACCACTACAAAACTGTGAGCTGACAGCAATACCTTACAACCTTTTAAATACTGTGTCACCAGCATTGGTGCAATGTCATTACAAATGTTTTGTCCACTTTATTTTAAATGACTACATAAGATTCTACCTTACAGATATGCCATTGTTTATTTAGCCATTCTCTATTGTTGGTCATTTAGGTTATCTACAAACACATTTTAGAATTCCTGTAGAGACTCACAAGTAGTCTTTCACTAACACTTCAAGTGAAGGAACAGAGGTTATCGAAGCTGAGAAACATTGGTTCTTCATAACAGAATTGAAAACATTGAATATCTGGCTCATGACTTGCCCAATCCTTCTCCTTAGTTACAGATTAGTAAACACCATTTTAATTTGTGATAGACAAATAATCTGTTGTAGCCTATGTCTTTTGTCCATTTGGGGCAAGATTATCCCAACTCCAAGGTTTGGTGGCCAGAGTTCATACTCCCTGTGGATGGTGCATTTATTTAGCTTTTCTACCTCATCTTACTATTTTTCTTCAAAATGCTGATGATAATATTTCATTTTTTTCCTGCTTTAGCAGTCCTTGTATCCATCAAATACTTTGTGTGTAATTCCTCCAAAAAAATATTGTTAATGTTCATTGCCGATTATTTAAGAACAACATAGTCTTAAAACTCTGACATCAAATATCATATAAAGGAAAATAAAATCAACCATTTATAACCTCAAGGAGTTTGCCATCAAAACAATGTACTCTAAGATCTACAGCACCTGGCATGCACATAGTAGGCACTTTATAAATATGTGTTGAATGAACAACAAAATCGAAAGGATATTATCTCTCAAGAAAAATGAATGACTACTTCTGATATTATTAACTATGGTACTACTTAATCTGCCAGCTTTCAGGACATTGGTTTAAGAACCCAAAGCTGTGTTTTTTCCGATTATTATTTTCTATGTGCAAACTGAAGAAAGGTTGGTTTAAGTTGATAGTAGTACCTCTTAATAACTCGGACAAAATGTTGAAATGGGCAGTTGTTGGCAAAAGGGAATGTGAAGTATAATGCTAAGTGTCATGACGGAAAAAAAAAGCATCCAGGCTTTTCACTTATTCATTACACTGGACTTAAATTACCTATATTGATGAGTCAGAATTTAAACCAGAAATTGGTGTGTTGATGGTGAGGGGTAAATGCAGAAGTTTCTACTTGGGAATTGATCAAAGGTAACCATCTCTTAGTCTTCCTGTCAAGGATGATGCAATAATTACTCTGAAAACCAGGTGGAGAAAAGAACACCATATTGTTTTGTGAGATAGGCTCTGTGAGAATAAATTTCCATTTTCATTTTAATTGTCCTTACCTGACATGAAACATTTTTCTTCTCAGTCTGTCCATACGCACCAGCTAATAATTGATAATCATTAGACAAAGTCTTCAAACAGCCATCACAAAAAATACTAAAGGAGAAAAGAAATGAACCTTTTTCTTTAAAGCAGAACTAGTGCCAACCTAAATACTTCGGCATCCTTCAAAGACTGAGAAAATGTTGACATTTTTTACTTAAAAAAAACCCCTCACTTCTTTTGTAATCTTTTTTCTTTCATTATCTTACTATCACCATCTCCTTTTTGTGTCTGCTTTTTAAATATTTTAAATCAAAACTTCATTCAGTTCAGTGGAGTCGTCTAACTAAAATTACTAAATCTGTGGGGTTGACTAGGAACACACCATAAAGGTTTATAGTGGTTATCCCTATACTGGGATTACAGAATATTTATAATTTTCCATCTGCGTATTGAGAAGATTATTGATGGGAGAGCATGAAATTGAAGCTCTAGCCCTGGTCTTGGGTCATAGGGCCTTGGGCAAATTAGTCCCTCTGTGCCTCAATTTCCTTATCTACAAATTAAAGGGGGGCACCAAGTAGCTTGACACAGTCCTTATGGAGGGCAATTTTGGCAGTGTGTCTCAAAATTATAAATGCACTTAACTGCTGACCCAGTGATCTCTTTTCCAGAAACTCCTCCTGTAGATATACTTGGACAGATGAAAACTGAGTTATATATGGTTATCCATTACAGAATAGCTTGTGATAGTTAAAAGATTGGAAACAAGCCAGAGTTCACCAGTACTCTAGAGTTCAGTAAATTGATACATACAATGGTATGGTAGGTAGCTATAAACACCTTTTAACATTTATTTTTAATTTTTTTAATCTACGACTATGTGTCAGGGACATTGGTGCTGTAGGTACTCTGAGCCTGCTTCAAAGTCAAATTTCAAAAAAAGACCAAAATGAAGCAAACTATGACATTCAAAGAAACAATCAGGCAGGATAGCCCAGAAGGTTCAAGGATTTGAGCAAAATATGTAAGAAAACTCAGTGAAATACTCTCCCCACATTGAGGCCCTGAAAAACCGGGATTGAAATTAAGGAAAGGCCTAATTTGCAGCTGGCTTCCTTTGCCAAGAATGATCCACTAGGGTACCGCCTATTTGTAGGGTGCGGCTGTCTGGATTGGGGGCTATGCATAGTGTAATTGGGAAGGCTGAGGGTAGCAACAGTTCGCCATGCGCATTAAGGCCTTCCTTTGAGCTCACCATCTGGGTTACTGAGGTCCCCTAGCGGCTGGCAAAGAAGGCCTGAACTGTCCAAATTTGACAATAAAGGCAAAAAAGAGACCATGGGAGGAGGAGGATGGGAACCAACCCTATCCTCGATTCACCAGGCTCACGACCCGTCCTCCCTCCTCCCCTCCAATATCATTAGGAAACTGTTGTGATAAGTGGATTATGAAGAAACATGGATAAGTGGGCTAGGGAGATGATAATGAGAATGTAAAGCAAGAAATATATTAAGTTTTCAAACTTGAAAAACAGGCCTAATTTTCTTACAATGTCATTTTTTTGTTTAATTGAAGAATTACCTGTAAAAAAAGAGAGGTTTTTCTTTTTTAAGAATTGGGAACTGTCATTTTGGACAAGATATTTAAAATCCTGTCAATCTTCCATCCTAAGTGATCCCATCCCTCTGAAAGGAAATGCCTTCCATATTCCTCCTAAAAAAGCAAAGCAAAACAAAACTTGAAAACTGTTTCTTCTGCTCCCTGAGACACTAGGACCACTGTCTTCCTACCTTTGGCCCCACTGATCTCGACAGGACGTCCTGGACCTGGAGCCCAGATGGGGAAAGATGGGGTGGGTGGGTTGATTGACGCACGAGGCAAGCAGCCTAAGGGAACCTGGGGGTGGAGCAGGACTGGGTCCCTGGACTCTTGAGTTTTTGCTTCTGAACAACTCATCGTTTTCATTCTAAATAGCAAATAATTTACAAGCAAACAGTTAAAACTTAAGAGTCAATATTCAAGTGACAAGTTTATCTGTAAATGCTGTTCTCTGACTCCTTCCCCGCCATCCCTGGACTGACTCGGTGGATTGTATGAGATTTCTGCCCAGGAGAAAAGGTTCCCACGGAGGGCATGAGGTCTAGGATGCCTTAGGGACTGTGTGTGCATGTGAAATAGGACTATTTCGCTGCGCCGAGCCCTTTCCCCTCATTTCTAGCCTTTTAGGTCAAGAATGGAGTGAGTGAATCCGGATGGTGGCTGCTGGGCTGGGCGACTGGCCCCGGGCTAAACCGAACCGCAGAGGCTCAGTTAAGGGGTGCGGACAGGTGGGTTCCGGGCGCGGAGGCGGTGGGAGGGTACTCGACGCGCTGACTTGACCGCCAGGGCCCTGGCGCCCCCGGCCGTGTGCGATCTGCGCCGGGGCCGGAGAACTTGACAAATCACGGAGAAAGAAAACACCAAAACAAAACCCACCGACTGCCCCACGTTTCTTTGCAAAGAAACCGTGGGTGGAGCTCAGTCTGGGCTAATAAGTAGAATTTCGCGAGGTCGTCTCCGCCCGCCTACCCAGCGCCCCTAGAGCTCTGCGTGTCCCACATCCCCAAAGTGGAGCTTCTCCCCACTTTGGGCTCGGAGCTGAGGTCAAGGCAAAGTGAGCGACTTCTTCCACGGGTGCGTCCAGAGTACTCGGCTTTGCTCCTCAGTAGTAAACAAAGTGTCGCTGCCGCCTCCACGCTGGTTTGCCTCCTAGCAATCAAACACAGAGACAGGCGCGAGACTCACAGAAACATTTGAGAATTACCAGAAAATAATAAGCGATCCTAAATAAAAATAAAAAGAGCGTGTGTGAAAAACACCCCGCTACCCCCCACCAACTCACTGCCGCCTCCCGGTGGAAAATCGGCCCCCGCCCAGGGCCTCGTCCACTGGCTGCCTGGGCGGCGGTGCCGCGCGCTCATTGGCCGCCCGGGCTGTTAGTCAGGGGCGGGCCGGCGTGCGCGCCGCTGAGGGCGGGGGGTGGCGGCAGATCCCGTAAGTCCGGAGGCCGAGTAGTAGCTTCAGCCTTCGCCACCGCCGCCACATTCAACAGGCAGCAGCTCGGCAGTCGCGCCGCCGGGGAGAGCGAGCGGCTCGCGGCGTCGGTCCGTTCTCCGGTCCGCGGGCCCTGTCAGCAGGAGCGCGGCGCCCGCGCTGTCCGGGCCCGGCGACACTGGCCAGCCGTCCCGTCGGTGCAGCGGACCCGGAGGAGACTGGATGTTGATGGACTCGCGAAGTTAAGTTCTGGGCTCGCGCTTCCACCCCACCGCGCCTTCCTCCCGGTTTCCATCCGCCGGCGGCAGCGACCTCGCCCCCACGCCCCGCCAATCTCGGACCGGCTCTTCACGCCCTCTCCCCCTTGGCCCCGAGTGCCTCGCTTTACTCCTTGGCTCCACCGCGGCTGGGGGAGGGGCGGGGGTCACCATGGCCGAAGCGCCCCAGGTGGTGGAGATCGACCCGGACTTCGAGCCGCTGCCGCGGCCGCGCTCGTGCACCTGGCCGCTGCCCAGGCCGGAGTTCAGCCAGTCCAACTCGGCCACCTCCAGCCCGGCGCCGTCGGGCGGCGCGGCCGCGAACCCCGACGCCGCGGCAGGCCTGCCCTCGGCCTCGGCGGCCGCTGTCAACGCTGACTTCATGAGCAACCTGAGCCTGCTGGAAGAGAACGGGGACTTCCAGCAGGCGCCTGGCTCCGTGGCGGCGGCCGCAGCGGCGGCCGCGGTGGCGGCGGCGGCGGCGGCCGCAGCTGCCGCCACCGGGGGGCTGTGCGGGGACTTCCAGGGCCCGGAGGCGGGCTGCTTGCACCCAGCGCCGCCGCAGCCCCCGCCTCCCGGTCCGCTGTCGCAGCACCCGCCTGTTCCCCCGGCCGCCGCGGGGCCTCTCGCGGGGCAGCCGCGCAAGAGTAGTTCGTCCCGCCGCAACGCGTGGGGCAACCTATCCTACGCAGACCTCATCACGAAGGCCATCGAGAGCTCGGCGGAGAAGCGGCTCACACTGTCGCAGATCTACGAATGGATGGTCAAGAGTGTGCCCTACTTCAAGGATAAGGGAGACAGCAACAGCTCGGCCGGCTGGAAGGTGAGTGGTCTCCGGACACATGGTCCGACGGAGGAGGCGGCGCAGGGACTTCTCTGCCTGCGCTTGAGGTCGGAGTAGGGCAGATCAGGGGGTGGCTGTGCAAGTTTCCTTGTCCTGAAAGAGCAGGGCACGCGGGCAGCGCGGGCAGGGAGCAGGCGAGAAGTGGCAGATGTAGGTTGTGGGCTTGCCTGGGACGGGTTGAGGGACTGGAATAAGTAAGTGTGTGCGCGCGTTCAAGTGCGAGTTGGAGTGGACGGGGAACGGGCTCGTTTGGAAACGGAGTGAAAAAAGTACAAAAAGTGACATAAGCGGGCAGAAAATCTCGCCGGTGAAAGAAGGTGATTCACTGGGAGCTGCTCCCCCACGGCCCGAGTGGACTTCTTATGCTGCTCCTTTCCCTCCAGTACCTCGAGGGTGAGGGCGGCTCCTTTCCACCTCTTTGGGCCGCGCCAGGGAGCCGTTTCCGCTGTGCTTGGCCTGGTTGGGGGCGGCGAGGGGCATCTGAGTCTCCCCCCCCCCCCCGCCCCCGAGCGGGGGATGTGGCTGCAGGTGGAGGGACAGGTAGGGCTAGGGCTGGCCCGTAGGGGTTGGCCGTGCAGGTTTTGGAAGCCGTTGTGCATTTTGCTTTGTTTTGATTTTATCCGCGGTGGCCTTGAGTTCAGGGGACCCGGCGCGCCGAGCCGGAGGTAGCTCATCCAACACGTGCAAAGGGATGGCCACCGCCTGCAGAGCTGCGGCGTCCGGCTATGCAAGGGCGAGTTAAAGTTCAAGTGTGACCCTCGGCGGGGGCGGAGGCGGGGAGCTGGCGGCGGCGAGGGAGGGGCCGAGGGTGCAGGAAGCGAGCGCCTTTAAAGGGCCAGCGCGTCCTGGCTGTGAGCAGCTTAAGGCCCGGTCGCCGGGCAGTGCGGCGGGCACTTCTCTGCCCAAGGAAGTGCCCCCAAAGCTGACCTCGCCCATGATCTGAGGCCTTTAATTAGGCACGGCGAGGCGCCCTTGGGTGACCATGGCTGGGTACGTGTGTACCTTCTCTCGCATTTCCACCTCAGTGTTACTGAAAACGGAGGTGTACAGATCCGAGGGCCAAGGCCGGGGGCTTTGAGACAAGTGTTTTGGGGCGTTGGAGTGGAGGTGCGCCTCAGGGGAACCGGCAGGGACCTCCTGCCTTGATGGCGGACTGCAGATGAGGCGCTTCTGGCCTTTTTTGCCTTTCAGAGAGACCCGGAGAGACGGTGGGGGCAGTCACATCCCTACCTCTAGGTGAAGGCCCGGGGCCCCTCTATAGAGGACTGGCTCTGGGGAGGGTTACCGAGAGTCTGTTTGCCTTTCGGCCTCCTAAAGCTGACAGTTTCTCAGTCACAGGTGGAGGGATCGATGCTAAGAGTCTGGTTGAGCCAAACTCCTTCCTCACCCCTCATCCTGACTGTACAGCATAATAAAGTTAATCATAATCTTTATGTACAGCATGATCTTTTTATGCAGTTGTTACACCAAGGTTGTTTTGCATACACTGTCTTACTTGTGGTTGTTGTGTGTCAGAAAGGTTAAGTGATTCACATCGTATTTTAAGTTCCTGGAGGAGCCAGGATTTTATTTTTTCCAAAGTGTGTTTTAGAGTAAAGTTAGCACTTATAACCTCATTACTGGGCATACATGTAATTTTACCAAGTGTTTTTAAAAAAGGTAGAGTGCCTCACTGCAATCTCAATATATATTTTAGGTCATAAAGTGAGGATTCCCTGCCAAATCCAATTTTACTTAACATTTGAATTTAAGTACTTGACTTGCTCATTTATCGATTCTACTTGAGCTATCATAAAGCACTTGCCATTTAAAAAAATCTTCTTTTTTTGGCATTCAAAGTACAATATGCACTTTACACCATTCTTTTATGTCATTGGAAATGGATACAACCTATTTAAGCTTGCTGGATTGCCTTTCTTTAAAGGTAGAGAAAGGCAAAGTTTGGGGATTATTTTTAGTTTTGCCTCCCAAATGGTCTTAAATCAGGGTATTCTTAAACTAGGAATATAACTTAAACTTTTAAGATTTAGTGCTTTTTTAGAAAAATAGATTCTAAGGCCAAATCATTGCCCCAGTCATTTTTATTAGGTTCTTACTTGTTCTCATTTTTTTCCCAAATGCAATTATAATTTTATTATTAAAAAAAAATTACTTAACAGAGCGAGCAGATCCATTAAGTGTCAGTAAGGATTATTCGGCCAGACTTGGAAGCCCAGTGGCAGCTCCCAGTAGAAGCCTAGTGGGGCTTTAAGGAGGGAAGCAGGCTGCCATTCTCAAGTGCGTGAACCCTTCAGGTGTAATCATCAGTTGGAGCAAGTCAGATTACAGCAAGTGCATTTTCACTTTGAGTAAAAAGGGTATTTTAAGAAGAAGAAAAACGACATGAGGTGTTCTAACTCATAACTAGTTTTCTGGTTAGAGTTTTCATAAAAATGAGTTACTTGTTAAAACCAGGTTTCACTCTCAGATCTGAAAGACCTCCTGTCTTAAAGATTCATAAAAGGAATAAATTTTACTATGACTTTCATCTTAAAAAAATCCAGCTCTAAAATGCAAATCAACCAAAAGTTAACTGTTTTAGGACTGAGGAGAGGCTGCTTTGGAACTAAGTATTTCCTGTGATTTACTACTGGGAATTAGACTGAATCTTTAATTAAATATAGTTTCTTGTGCTTTACTTCCTGGGGCCTGCCTGAGAATTTGAAAGTCATTTACGTAGTACAGAATAGTTGGAAAGCTGTTAAAGAGTTCACAAACTTAAGAGTTCCTTAAATAGTGGTTATATTTTTGGGACATGCATTTTGTATTTGTTGGGATGGTACCTTAAATCTACTTTACACTCTTTTTAATATTGACTGGAACTGTCAGTAAGGTTACACACAAAGTGGAAGCTAAGACTTTTGGAAAACCCGGGATCTTTTAAACCATGTACAGTATTTATAAATAGTGAAACTTCATTTCCATGGCCTGTTTTTGTTTTTGTTTTTTTGTTTGTTTTTTTTCACATAGAAAACTTTCTAGAGCTTGGGAAGTAGTATTGTGACCTTTGGTGCTTTCTCTTTTTTTTTTTTTATGACAGTTTTGAGTTGACTCTTGTGATTTGTTTTGATATTATTTGGAATACTTAATTTAGATTAAAAGAATGCTTGAACAATAAGATTCAACACATTTTAAAGAAAACTTTAAATTGTTTTATTGTAGGATAGCTCAGATATTCTTTATTTTGGAATGATGTTTCTTTAATTTGGTCTGTGAGCTGAGAGTGCCTTTTCTTGCATTTTAAAATTTGCATTTGTTTTGTAATTTGGGTTTTTAATCCGGAGGTGAGTAATTTAGCCACAGAGATCCCATGGCAGGAAAATGGCTGCTTTCTTGTTGCACAGTCACATTTGACTTAAAGAATTCTGTTGAGTCTGACTTCTAGTTTGTTACTGAAATTACCTTAAGGAACACTTTTTTTACAGTTGAGTGAAAATTGCAATATATGTATTGGGTTGTTGGAAAAGTCATGACGCATTTTTGCAACGAAAAACAGAAAAATACGTCATGACTTTCCGACAACCCAATATTTGAAGGGAGCGTGAGGAAAGAGAATTAAAGATGGGAAATGGGATTATGCAGCTAAGTGTGGTATCTTATTTGCAAAGGCTGAAAATTGTGTGGGACTGATGTTGAGATGTTTTATGGTGAGATTTTGTTCAGAAATTCTAAAATAGATGTCAAACATGAATATCTTATTGAGACTCATAAGAACTTTAATTTTACCTGTGTTTTTGTGGTAAATCCTTGGAGAGATATGGCGGGAGGGGTGACTTCTATTTTTGAATGACACTCAGATTTTTTTTTTTAAGTGGCAAACATTTTAATATTTGAAAGAAAGGTTTCAAAATTCTCACATAAACTTTAAAAAAAAGTTAAAGTTTGTTGAGACCGTCCCAAAATTACTGAAAGACTATTGCATTGGCAGAGGACACAAATATTGCTAGATACCATGCGCTGCACAGGGAATCTGAGCAGACACTTGAAATGAGGATGAGGGGAAAGAATCCTCAGTGGTTAGAATCTGTGGTAGGCTGGAAACGGTTTGCCTGTCCTTATATTCTAACCTCTTCATCCAAGCTCCTAAACTGCAATTCTGTATGACTTTCTAAGAGAGCAGCTGCCTGTATTTGCCTGGAATTTCTTTGGGAAGCCTGAACTATTTGTATTTTTCTGGAACACTCTGCCCTTGGAAACTACCCAGTTCCCTGGCATCATGGGAATTTACTGGCCAGTTTTTTTTTGTCTGTGTGTGCCTTAACTTTGGGCTTCCTGGAATCCTTTTGGAATGGGTGTATAAACCCTGTGGTGATTGGAGAGAGCAAAGGAGTTTGCAATTGTACAGATTATGTGTGAGCACAGTGTGGATTCAGCCCTGCTTCTCTGCAGTTCAAGATTTGCTTTGGCCTTCATAGGAACAACTTGCAGAAACTTACCCAACCCCCCCCCCCCCCTTCCCGGACCTTCCTTGGGTCAGATAACCACCTCTTTTTAGTGCATACAGTATTCTGAAGTTGATGTGGTTGTTCTCAATAGTGAAACAGAGAGGACCAGATGAACTTGGAAAAGCTATTTATTTTGGTGTGTGAGGGGATGCAGGTTTGCATTCCAGTGGACACACTGTATACAGATGTACTAACATGTGGAAGAATTCTCCGTTTTTGCTAATTCCTGATGAGGACTCACAAAACTCGAGTCAGTGGCACAGAAATTCCTTGCAGAGAATTACTCCTTGTTATTTGTAAGGAACATATGAAACATAATAATACAGTTTAGTACATTGGTGATTTCATATGGTTCCACCTTTTAAAAATACATTTTCCCACTGGCATCCCAGTTTAGTCTGCTCAGTTTACCTATGGTTTATCAACTTGTGGGTTAAGCTAAATACTGGGTCTTGGGTTGAGTTTTTCTAGTCACTTGTAAGGCATTTGGGCCAC